CGGCGGATTGCGTTGCAGCTCCGTGGATGGAGCGGTTGGTCCGGGCACCTCACACAAAGTTTCTTTACTCACCTCCGAACTCCGGCGCGTTTGACCGAGACGCCCTGCGGGGCCCGCGTTCTTCCTCTTATCGGGAAGCGTTTTTTGGCGTGGAGATGTTACCTGGGAAGGCTTCGGTAGCAAAGTGTGCCAGCACCGGATCTTGTGCGCAACTAAAATTGTTTTGCTACAGAGCACAAAAATTCTCAGTGTTCTTACACACACTCCTGCTTTGACAGCCTCTCAGTTTAACCCTGGACTGACATCTCTCTGCAGGGAAAATTTTAGTGAGAAAAGTCAGCGTATTTAAACTTGAAAGCTTATCTTGTAAATTCGTTTTTAGGCCTTTAAACAGATAACTGATCTTTTCAGAGAGCCAGTGTTCTTCAAGAGAAACTTCTGAAAAGGAGGCAGTTTAATGAGCTGCTTAGGTATGTCTAACATTTGGCAGCCAGATTTGAAAAATCTGGTTATGATATCCTTCTGAAAGTGCGACTCAAGCTATTCAGCATCATTTTGGAGAGTGTTCCCAATTCTGAAGTCCTTTGTAGCATCCAGCCTCCATCAGTTAAATTTCTTAGGACCCCAAGCTTAGTCGTAAAAAGGGGAATTTTTTTAACTGTTAAAATGCAAGTGACCTACATGGATTCGGTGGGAGATCTGTGAGCTGGGATTGAGGATTTCAAAGCTATTCCTGGGGTTGATTTTGTGAAGCAGGGATTGTCTCTCTCTGTGTTTGTACAAGTGCTAAGCACACACTATGGTATTTAATAAATAATAAAGAGCATGGGCTTCTGATGGTATATTTTGTTTAGAGAAAGAAAGAGTAGGAGGCTCTGATCCCCAGGAGGGGGTCAATACTCTTCTCACAGCTCAGCTATGAGATCCGGAGAGCGTAGAAACATGTTTAGCTGAGCCAGAGCTGACAGGACGCCAGAGGTGTTCTTTAAACTCTGTGATCTGAGATGTAAAAGTTGAAATGGGAGACTTGAAGTTAGAGGGTAAAGAGAGGAGGTGTAATTGCAGGGTTGGACTCCATGGCTCATCTGCTTGGAATTACAGAGCAGAGCTGAGTGCTGGCTGGAGCAGGAAACAAATCAGGGCCAGTGATCAGATCAAAACAGCAGCTGCCAAAAGAGGATGATGAAGAAAAGTCATCCATTTCTTCCATCTGCAGTTATATTTCACCAAACAACATAAACCAAAGTTCTTGTAGAAAGATACAACTCACTGCCTTGTATATGAAGACAAGGACCTTGGTAATGTAGCAGTCCACAGTTTGGATCAGAGTTTCAAGAGTTTGGAAACTACTGCCCTCTTACAAACTTGAAAATTATATCAGTGGCACTGAAATATAGCTCATGGAAATGTCTTTACCCTGTTGGCTTTAACTTGGTCTAGAGCTTTTCCATCCATGCCATAAAATCAGTAGAAGCATCCTTTGATCCGCAGCTATCCCACATTGCTAATGTGTAAGAATAACCAGCGATCCCAGGGGACTGCAGTGTTAAGCCTCTCTGCAGCATGCAGCATTTTCTTTATGGATTTCTATTGCATATGGCAGTTCGAGGGTTAAAAGTGAGTGAGTGTGGGTGGGTGGTTGAGGCTTTTTAGGGCTTAAAGCTTTGTGACAGAAGTTAAAATGTCCTGTAAGGCTCAAGCTTCTGCTTTCATTACATTAAGAAATGCCTGCTTTAACGTCACTGAGTTGAAATTTGGAAAAACTAGTCTTTATTAATCAAAATAAAACCTGTACATGTACAGTGTCACAAAAAAAAAAAATCAAAAAAAACCAGCTTTGCAGCTGGAAGTTGTCCATTATCAGTGTTTTCTTTGCTTAGACAAAAAGCCACAGAAGTTTCAGATGTCAAACACTAAGATCGTTCGAGTCCAAAAAACCTGAATAATAAGAGCTACGTTCAAGTGGATTTAAAACAAATTTGGGTAATTTATTTTGTAAATATAACCTTTTCTTTTTATAAATACAGGTGCTTAAAAAAAAGCTTTAGTATATTTCTGATTATGCTACTGTTAGAGTAATGAGTTAGAAACTTTAAAACAATTAGTTGATAACATCATGGAAATGGTACTAATAAAGACGATGAAAACAAGACTGATAGGCTTTTCAGAGCAAAACTTTTTATGCTTTTAAAAGTTCTCTGGCAGTGTTGCTTAAATTAGTTATATAGTAGTGTTTTATTTCAAAACTTTTTCAGGAAAATAATAAGTAAATGCATCAGGAGATATAAATACCCATAGCCATAGAGTGAACATATGTTGTGCTCTGTGCTAGAGACATGTGGTCTGTTTCCTCAGTTAAATAACGCATTTCAAAATCTGGAAGACAATAAAAAGATGGGAAGACACAGTGCTTAGTGTAAGAGTTGGAGAATTAGCAGGGAGAGTTAGAAGATGGACTAAATTTTATTCACACGTTTGTCAGAGTAAATTCCATTTCACTCATTTTTGTAGCTTGACTGTGGGCTAACTCAGTGGTAAGATGTTGATGTCATCAACAGAGAGGACAACTTTTTTGTGCTCTGTAGGGTGTCTGTAGAAAGTAGGCTGGCACACAGTGGGGCCCAAAAGTGCCTCACCTGCACTGGAGGCAAACACCGTCAGCTATCCAAGGCAAGGGTAGGATTTCATTAGTGAGATGACTATTTAGGGCTGGTAGAGGGCAGGATTATCTGTAGTGAGTTTGTTTAGCACTTTCTTCGCTTGGACACAAGTGCCAGGGGAGTTGGGGACAGCCAGCATGAATAAACCCCAGTGCCAAGGTGTGGGTACAGGATGGAGCAGATGCTCTGACAGAGGGCAGATGTTTCTTGCACAGAGGGCAAGACCAAACTACCATTGATACTGAACTGCACAGACATCCCAGCACTGCACCCATTCCTGTCAGGGGCAGAGTTCCCACTGCCCTGAAGGAAGATGGGCTTTAACCCTTCAGATTTTCATAAAGAAGCCCTCTTTCTGGGCAGTGCCATTTCACCTTGCACACATAGCAGCAGCTAATCCCAATTTAGAACTTCAGCTAAGCAGAAGTTAAGGGCTGTGTAACAGCTTGGCTCTTGGTTCTCTGACCTCTTCCAAGAGAGGGCATTGAATGAGGACCAAGCTATAGGGTAACAGGGGACCTCCATGCTGGCCCTGCCAGCTTTGAGGGGATTTCTTTTTAGCTGTCCCATGAAGACATACTTTGGATCCCTCCTCAGGATCTTCCATGCTCTTAAGCATTCATTTTTCCTCTCTTCAAAAGCTGCCCTTGGAAACTCTGTGTGCACAAGAGAGGCAACAGATACATGTGAAAGGAAGTCATTGTCCTGTCTGCTTCCCTGGCCATAAAACCCGGCTTTCCTTTCCCAACCCTTTTGTTTGTAGTAGCTAATTTGGGCCCCAGTCTTGAGAGGACTCTTTGAAGTTTCAAGTGCAGGGAAAACACTGGTAAACACAGCTCGTGGCTTGGTAACAGGACATTATATTCTCCATGGCAATTATGTAAGCTTGCACTGGAGCTAAAAGCCTGTCATAGGCATTATCTGACACTATCCCACATCAAGAAAGAGCATGATCCAAATGTCTATTTATTTAATTGTGCAGGGCAACTGCCCAGATAAGGAGAGCTATAAAGTTAATCCAGCCAATTTTTCTTTATCTGTTGTAAGGTTTTTCCAGTTTCAGACAAGTTCTAACTTGAAAAGAGGTTGCTGCAGGAGTAAAGCATGAATGTTAAAATATTTATGTCAGAGATTAAGCCATAGCTTATTTTGAACTTATGCTATCACTCCAGGTTGTTTTACTTCAAAATAAAATTTTGTTCTTCTGTATTTACGTCACTAGAAATTAGGGAGAAAAAAAAGTGGTTCCTGCTGAGCAATCCCAGTCTAAAGCCAGGTTTGAATCCTACTCTGAGGTAACATGTCTCCAACGATCTAGCAAAGGATGAACCTGCTGAACACCTGGTAGTTTTCAGACTGGTTTAAAGCGCTACACTTGGACATGCTCGAAGCTGTGGTTTAGGTTCTGGTAGAGACATTCATTA